CAAATATAAAATTTTAATGTTAGATTCTTGAAGTGAAACTTCAAGTTAGAGTTTAGCAAGGACTGTGATTAGACCAGAGATGGCCATGCTCCTAGGCCTGAAAGCTTCAGACAGCCATGGGCCTCGGGTGGGGGACACAGGTCTGATCACCATGAGCCACTTCCTGTCCTCACAGATCATCTCCCAGACCTGGCCCTACCTAAGCATGATTATGGAAAACAAGTTCCGGGAGAAACTCGAGCCTAAGATCCGGGAGAAGAGTGTCCACCTGAGGACCTTCACCTTCACCAAGCTCTACTTTGGACAGAAGGTCAGTGCTGTCACAGAAAGGGCAGCTTGGGTCTGCTGTGCAGCATTTTTTCTGTCCCCATCCCCTGCCCCAGGTCACTTACCTGACTGAAAGACCCCACTGGGCCTCACAGGGGATCCGGCCCCCACCTACACTTCCCAGCCCCTGGGCCTCAGTCCAGCCCCCTCACCCCAGGGTTCAGCCCCATCTGGGCAGGCTCTAAGGAAGTTTGCCTCAGAGAGAGCAAAGAAGAGAGGTGGAAAACAATTCACTTTTCTTAAACCAAAGTTTGAAAACATGCCCCGTGGTGGAAGTCAGCCAGATACAAAACATGCACAAGTCACGCCTGCTGCCCTCAGGCATCAGCTGGAGTGAGCACGCCCTCAAGGAATGAGACTTCCTCAAAGCAGTGTGTGAGATTATCTATTAATTTATTCTGGCACTCAGTGTCACCAGCAAAGGCTAGTTCTGTGGAGATAACAGGTGACGCAAGATAAAAGAAGCTTCTGTTGAACACACTGAACTTCCTGTCCCTATTCTAGACTGCTGCCTCTTGCCCTAAGGTGCCCCCTGATGTCAGTCTTACTTTGGTCATCTGAAAATGCATCCCCCGGGCAGAGAACCGCTGTGATGCCCATCACCTGGTAAACCAGGCGTTGGCATCTGGTCTGCTCGGGAACAGGCAGATGTCTGAATGCAGCTCAGCCTGCTGAGAGCTGTCTGCCAGCCCCCGGGCATGTGCCCAGCTCATAACTGCCAGCCCCCCGAGTGAAGGGTGGATCAGGCGTGCCTGAGCCTGGGATATTCTGCTTCATGCCACGCAGACTCTGCCAGGACCGGCTTGTTCCAGCGTCTGTTGGTTCAGATGTTCTTTCCCTGTTTCATTCACGTATGACGTAGTGAGCATGACGTGTGCGAGGCACCACAGACAGAGAGGGTGTGGCTGTACCCCTGCCTTTAGGAAGGTCACTGTCCTGTTGTGGAGGGAGATGCATATGCTGGTGGATGACAACACGGCAGTGAACCCACGGCTGTGGAGGAGCGTGTGAATTCAGGAGTGGGAGGGTGTGGGGGCTGTGGTAGTCAGGGAAGGCTTCCAGGAGGGGGTGATGTCTGAGCTGGCCTTTGGAGAATTCTGCAGGCTGAGAGCCAGGCAGCCTACAGACTGCCGTGTTTAGAGCAGAGCTTGCTCAGCCAGGCTGCTTGTCTGGCAGTACCTGTGGGATGTGGCGCTGCTGGAAAGCAGTCCCTCGCTGGCAGCAGAAGCAGGCCTAGAGGTGGCTGATCCTAAGGGATGACTTTTTTTATCACATTAGGAGAACCTGGTAGGGGACCTGCAGGCTGACCAGAAGCCCCAGCCCTGCTGGACAAATACCGGACTCTTGGTCCTGGTATTGAAAGCCCTTCCATCTTGGCCTTTCCCTGCCCCGTTTGGCATGCCCCTCCTCTCCACTGTGGGCATCAGAGTGGACTCCTCAGCGACCTTCCTGGGCTTGGCCAGGAACCAGTGTACTCACCACACCCCCTTCCTTCAAGCCCACGAGTGTTCCCTTTACCGTTTAATCCCTGTGTCCATGCCCAACTCTGCTCTGTGCTGTGATGACCTTGGACCAGTGACTTAACCTCTCTGAGCTTCAGTTTCCTCCTCTGTGAAAGGAAAGGACCTACTTCTAAGGGTGGTTGTGAGGCGTGACTAACAGGCCTGGCCTCAGGACCACTCTGTGTGGCTGTGTGAGTACACAGGGCACCTGGCCAAGAAGGCCAGTGGAGGCCAAATTCCAGCCTTGTGCCCCTCACCTAACTGTGAGCCCTGGGCGAGGGCCANCAAGTGAGGCCAGGGTTGGACCTGTCAAGCTGGATCACCTTTTAGGGTTCAGCAGATCAGAACTTCTCAGCTCCCAGGGGTGCAGAACCACCTGGAGGTGGGGGAAGGGGTATGCACACATTGCGTGCCCTGGGACAGGATGGGGAGGACAGTGGTTAGGATGGAAGGAGGAGAGGGGGCGGTCCAGCCAGCAGGCTTGGGCAGAAGAGGAGTAGAGGTGCCAGTGAGAGCCCAGCTGTAAGCACACTCTCTCCACTGTGACATTGTCTGTCCCATCCCCCCACACACACACACACCCTACCCCCACTTTGGCTCTGATTCTGCACTGGAATGGTCTATAAATTGCCTACTTCCTTCACCAGCCTGGGAGCTCCTTGAGGGCAAGAACCTTGCATTCACTCATACATTCATTCATTCTATAAGTATTTATTAAGACATTCATATACCAGAGACAGGCACTCATAGGGGAGACAGGCACTCATAGGGAACAAGGTTGAGTCAGCCCACTAGTGCTTCCAGTCTAGTGAGGAGGCAGGCAGTAAGACGGAGCAGCTCTGATAAGGAGTGTTAAATGCTGCAATGACGTGTAATCGTGTAATCGGACACCCATCCCCAGCCTGAGAGATCTGGAAAGGCTGCCTGCAAGAAGTGGAGTCTAAGATGGTGATGAATGGAGCAATCAAAGGGCAGGAGGGAAGAGTGTTTCAGACCCAGGGAATGGTATGTGCAGGCCTTTGTTGGGAACAGAAAAGGTCAAGGTGACTGTACTGAAAGGTGAGGAGGTGGAGTTCTGGGGGATGAGGCCATGGTGTGTGCTGGGGCCCCAGGCCAGGCCCATGTGCCAGAGTTTTTACTTTAGTGGTGGGCAGTGTGCAGAGGACAGTAAAAAGGTGCCCCCTTCACTTGCCTGGTACCCAGCTTGGGACCTGACCCGGGGCAGCTGCAGGGAGCGTGTGGTGAGCAGGCTGCTTCTCTCCAGCTGAACTGGATGGCCTGACCCAGCTCCGGCCCGCTTCCCACATTCCTGTCTGTTCCTGTGGGCTAGGCCAGCTCCCCCTCTGGGAACTGGGTAGTATGGCTTCAGCACCTGGAAATATTAGATGCTTCTCCAAGTTAGTGTGGGCCACTGCCTAGAGCTGGAGAAACTGAGGCTGGGAGAATGCCATGATGTCCCAAGAGTCTCAGAAGCACTGGGCTCCTCGGACCTCTCAAGCTGTTAAAAACTGTGTTCCTAAAGAATTCAGCTGCTCTACCCTTCCTTTGGTTCTCCTCCTGGCAAGTGGTCTCTGCCAGGGTCTGTGTGTGGGCCGTCAGGGCATCGTGGGGCGGGCCCAGGGCCTGGCATGGTGGGTGTGCACTAGATGTGCATGGACACATCTCCTCAGTCCGTGGACAGTGAGCCCCCAGAGGGGAGGGCTGGCCTTTCGCCACCTTGGAAGGCCTCATGCCCACTGTGAACCTGACCCGGAGCTGGCCTCCTGCTCAGAGGACTTGGGGCATGGCGACCGTGATGGCTGTGGCTGGCATTTCACTGATCCATGTTTTGTGCCAGGCAACGGGCACCCTGGCCCAATTTCTATGACAACTACACATACTTCTTTCCGGAAAAGACTGAAGGAAATGCATCACCCTGTTGACCGCCAGTTATCACTGGGTGCCATTCTCTGATAAAATATTTTCCCTTTTGCTTAGCTACACTTTCTAATTTTTCTACAGAGTGTTACTTGTGTCATTAAAAGGAATAGGGGGATGGAATTTGCCAGAAGCAAACTGGGTATTTCCCCGGGGGAAGGCCCAAGTGGGGGTTCTGTGTTTCCGCCTGGAAGGTGGGGCTTATTTGCACAAGCCAATAAGAAGGTTCCAGTCCGTCCGCAGGGGTAGAGGGGAGGGGAGAGCAGTCTCCTCACAACCACTCAGGAGTGCACCTCCAAGCTGGAGCTGGCATCCCTGTTGTGTCACTGGCCTGGCTATGTGTGGGCTCCATCTGGTTATTTGCAGCCTGCCCTACCTGATGGCACACTCCTTGAGGGCAGGGCTGGCTTTGAGTCATGGGCCAAGTGCTGGGTGGGTGCTTAGCATTCGTGGGGGCAGCAGTAGGCACCTGCCATGCCGCACTGCCAGGCTCAGCTGCCTGCGTGGCTCCCAGGGGCGAGCAGGTCTCAAGTCTAACTTCCCCTCGGGGCTTCTGTTCCCTAGATCCACTTCCCGGACGTGGAGCGGGTGGAGTGGGCCAACAAGGTAAGGCTGGCGCGGGCCCGGTGGGGCTGGCCTCACTCCAGGCCTGGCCCTCCACTGCCCTGGGCTGAGTCATCTGCAGGGATGGGGGTGGGGTGGCATGTGGACAAAGGCCCAGGCTGTCACTTGTCTGCCTGTCTCTTACCCTTACCACCCTCTGGGTTCTTCTCATCACCAGACAATGACTCTTTCACCTGAAAAAAAATTTTTTTTTAAAACTGTGAAATGAACCCATGGCCACAAGCAGAAAAGTTTGAAAACACAGAGACATAGAGAGAAAAGTGCGGCCTCCAATGCCCTCCCCCTAAGCCCAGATCAGCAGTTCCTGGGAAAGGAAGGGGGCGATTGCTTAGCTGCTGCTGTTTGCCCTGGTTCCCAGCCCGGATCCACCAGCACTGGCTGTCCAACCTTGGGCAGGTTGCCTAACATCTCAGAGCTGGCTCCTTCCTCTGTGCAGTGGGAATAATTATGGTCCCTGCCTTTGGGGATGCTGTGAGGATTAGTGAGGTAATTAATGCACCACAGGGCCCGGCCCGGCACATCAGGGACGCTGGGACAGCTGTCATCTTTGCTATGACTGCTGTCGATCATGCAGGGAACTCCCTGTGGGCTCTGAGACTCCAGGTCGGGCACCCCCCTTACAGATAAGGAATCAGCGTCTGGCCCCCTACCTGATCTGCCCAAACCTGGCCCTGAATGTGAAGGCTCCTGCAACCCGCTTCAAGTTTTCCTCAGGACTATTTCGAACACAAACCTTGCCTCTGTTCTGGAAAGAGGCTTAGCCCAGAGCAGGAATGACTTAAGTTGGGTATTTAAAAAGGATTTCCTGATGGTTTTTGATCTAAGGTTGGGATTTTTATGTTACCTGAAATGTCATTGCCAAGTGCATCAAAAACTGTCCCAGCCTCTGGGTAAAATTTGGAGGAAGTAGTTTGCTGCTTTACGAGGAGTGACCAGGTTT